TATTCGCTGATAACTGCCAACATCTGCGAACAAATATAATTCTATAAAGTTCTATATAGTGTGTAACTGTTAATATAGAGCGTTATTGCTAATGCAATCATATGGCACATTGACTTCTGAGGAAAGTTTAGATGGCACTCATCATCAGAAAGGTCGCCGACCCCTGATTTAGCCAAACAGACATTTGGGGGGGAAAAAAAACTGCTGAAATTTAACCTGAGCACCAGAATGAGTTAGTAAGGTAAATGAGTGTGACGTAGTTGTTGGTGCCAGACAGGCTGATCTGAGTATCTGACAAACTGCTGACGAGCTGGGATTTTCCCCACACAACCATCATTAGTGTTCGCAGACAAAATATTTTTCAATACAGAGAAAATATCCATTGAGCGTCATTTCTCTGGGTAAAATGCAATGACGTCATTTAAATGTCACAAAGCTCAAACAGGCTCTGTAAACATGACAGAGGTTACTGTCCTCAAACGGCCTTCACAGTCAGCAGATCTCAGTCCAACAGACCATCTTTGGGATGTGATGTAGAGTCAAATAGCTCAGATAATGTCGACAAATCTCAATATGGACCAAAAGGTTTTCACAGTACACCAAATCTTTATTGACACATAAAAGCATACAGTACTTATATACATCTTTTTGAGTATTTACAAAATAGAGAGCCCATGGATGTTACACATGTATAAAAATATGCATTACATCTATATAAATATGTACACAATGTGCAAAACATATGGCGTTACAAACAACAAGAGGCATGGCATGGGAGGCGGCGATAAAGAGAGGAGACTGGAACTACTAACAATGCGAAGCCTTAGTTTTTAACCTTTCAGCGTCAATCTGCGATTGAGGATGGAGCCTCTCAGTGCCTCATTTGTAAATTAAATATCCTCCACAGAGCTTTGTTCCACCAACAAATATACAGTGTTCACAGGATGATAAACAGTGCAGGTGAATAAAGAGAGCAGGAGCAGGCAGCTGAAGTCTAACAAGCAAACAGCAATGTTCAGAAAACCTGCAGGAATTCTTCCACGAGAAAAATGAGTTATTTCAATCCTGACACACACCCCTCCCTCCCCCTCCTGGATAATGAAGTGCGTCTGAACTGTATTACTCTGTAGTAAAGGCTCTTACACGAATAAAATCAAGGCAGGATCTGACACACAGTACAGCATACGTCAAGGGAGAGCAGCTATTATTGCTTTTAGCTGTCCTTGCCTGGGCCAGTCAGCAGCCACAATAGTGAGCTGGGAGTTGCGTCGCATCACAAACGTGCGGATTTACTCCAGCAAAGAGATTTATGTTTATCTGATATGAAAGATTTTGTCTTAGAAAAACAAAAATATACACATAAAACAAGATTAAATGTTGAATCTTTTACTTTAATTCTACAAAGAGAAAAGAGATACAAAAAATAAAAAAATGAGAGTGAGAAATATGTTTCACTGCCTTTTTGGCAACAACGTATCGAACGTGACAGCCTTTAACGCTGACAATCAGAAGGAGGAAAAACACGTTGAACATGAATCAGCCAGTGACTTTCACCGTACGTTTTACTCGTCGCAGTGCGCTCCACGAAGCGGAGGTAAACGAGAATACGAGCTAGTCTCTGAAGGAGCGTGGGCTTGACGAGAGTTTGTTAAAACAAGCTGAAAGACGAAGCAGCAGAAGCTGAGAAGGAAGTGTGTGCAGCATTTGGCGTTTCGCTTTTCGTTTGGGATCCGAGCACATCTGCGAGTCCTGGCCTGATCAGATGATACAATGTGGGACCGCAGCAGGAAGAGAGTCCGCTCGGGCCTGCACATCACTGCTTTTACAGGCAAAAAAAAAAAAATCTAAACATTTTTGCCTAATTTGCTAGTTTTTTTTCCTGTTTCTGTTACCCTGAAGTATCAACAGCTGCTGTTGAAGATGTGCCGTGAAGCCACAAGAGAAGTGAAACATCGCCCTCCACTGCCTGCGACCATAATAACAGGATAAAGTGGTTAAAATGTAAACGTGATTTCACTGACTGATATAAAAAGAACATTAAAAAAAGTCTTAAAATATAAAAAAGTCCCACACAGTTACACTGCATCTGTCCCAAAAACATAAACAAATACAAAGAATTAATATTCAGGTGAGTGAACTTTGATGCCTTCAATTAAAAGGCAGCCTTCACTGACTACTTCCTGCTGTGCATCACACTGTAAAGGTGTCTGTGTTTCTCTTTTTTTAAAAACTTTACCCCGAATGAACGACACAGATACAAGAAAAAAAAACAGTAAAACAGTCATCGAGAGCCTTACAAAGAGACAAATTTGGAATATGCAAAGCAGGTTGCAAATGATTGGAGTTGGGAGATGTTTAGCAAATTCCTTTAGACAACTTCAGGGCGGCAGCAGAGTTTGAAGCAGCCAGAGACCAAACACGAGTACGATCATGCACACGGAGACACGGCTGTACATGCAAGAGACGGAAAGACAAAGACAAACAAACACAGTCACACACACACACAGAGGGGCATGCTTCTCTCACACACTGCCCAGAAACTGACTTTGTGTACAAGCCACAGCAGCTGATGTATCGCCCTTAAACCAGCGGAGTATGATTTTAGAGTATTCCGATTCCTCCAATCAGCAGTCGATTCCGTATTGAAAAGGCTTGTGAACCAAAGCAACCCATCTCTTTTTTAAAAACTAGAGCAATTTCCTCTCCTGTCTCACACACACAAAGTGCAGGCATACTGCGGGACACCCAGATTTAAAGCTCAAAGACATCTTCCGATAACTGGCAGCACACCTATTACAGATGTGTGTCTGCAAATTGATACTTGTTCCCTTTCCTGTTTCGCTAATCAGAAGAAGAAGGAAAAAAAAAAAGCTGCCAACTTTTTTTTAGAGTTAAGTCCCACTTTTTAAAAGTACATTCACAATTCGCGACTTGGACAACTGCAGTATCTGCGCAGCCAGTGGCAACGTGATCTTGTGTCACAGTCGTGACGATCGCCTTGGATATGCAGTGTTCACATTTCCTTGTTCTGAGGTCAGCGAGGTGCGTCGTCAGATTTGTGCGCCTCTTTAGTGCATAGCTCTCACGTCGACGGGAGGAGCCGCCGCCGCCTCCTCTCGTCGTCGTGTTGTTCTTTAGAGTCATTGGTTGATCAGCTTGACTGATGGGAGTCAACGATAGGTCAGGAGAAAACAGTCACATCTGTTACAAACAAATCACGGACCAGTGTGAACAGAGGCTCGACTTCATTCAGACATTCCTTCACACCTCAGTCTGGCAGCTAGCTGAGTGTATAACCCCGGGCTTAGCATCGGGTGCGTCGTTATAGAGACTCAAGTCTCCTTTTAGTCTGAGCCTCCAGTCATGTTGTAATCACCAGCTTTTCTAACCTAGCATGTGACAGCACTCACGAGTGTAATTCAGATCAGACCTTCAGGAACTGTCTGACACGTTGATCTATCACGATGAGTAAAACAGATGCCGTTTTCCTCTACTAGAAATGATCCCCTCAGCTCAGTTTTCTTAGTGTGGTTTAAACTCTATTTACAAACAGTCTGTTCTTCCATTCAGCATTTGGCTCTGTCTCCTTGGCTCTGTTTATGATTGCTAAAATCATGACATCAGACACTAAAAAGTCTATTCTGATTAAAAATCCCTTTATTGCAGCGCAGCGTGACCGCAGTCACCTTTCGGCGGACGTTTTCCAGGCCGCCGAGCCGTTACGGGACTCTCTCCTAAAGCTGTGCAAACTCCTGCTTGTAGTTCTGCTCGGATCAGCCTCTCTTCCTCTAGAGTAGTGGGAATATTACAGATGGTATGGATGTACTGGTAAGAGTCGTATGGCACTTAAAGGCCATGTTTTCTCCTTTTATGTATTATTATTACTATTCTTTTTTTATTTAAAATCTCTGAAGCTTTCCCTTCATCCATCCATCCATCTTTCACACTTCTCCATCTTCATCATCAAAGCCTCCATCAGTCCCAGTGCAGGTCATGTGTATCCAGGAAGTCCGTTGGGATCCCCAGTGGTGTCAGCATCCCGCCAGGACCCGGCGGCATGGTGAGGTCCAGCCACTCCATGTTGTCCAGGGCCGGGTCTGACAGGCCCATGTTGAGTGAGGACGAGGGCGAGGAGGAATCGCAGAAAGACAGCTCTGACGTGTCCATGGGTGAGAAGGGCTGCTGGTCCATGAGCTGGGCCTGCAGCTCCTCCATCAGGCCCTGCGTGCGAGGGTCTGACGCAGACGGCGTCTCGGCCAGCGTCCCCTCTAGAAAGGCTTCCAGCTGATTGTCTGTGGCCAGGGACGATAGACCGGGCAAGCACGGGTTCACAAGCATGGAAGGAGGGGCTACCTGGACCTGCGGGGGCGGTCTGGACAGGACGGTGTTGACTGGAAGGGTGGTGATGCTGGCTGTGACAGGGAGAGTCTTGGGGTGAGACACCGGTGAGTTCTGATGGATAAATGGAGTGATTTCTGCAGGCGGGAAAACAAAGATCAAATAAGGATGCAGATTAAAAACTGACATATTTAAACATGTTAGTTTGTCCACAGTGGATCTAAAAAAAGAACTCATTTATAAAGTGATCTTAGATCATATCGGTTTTTAAACAGAGTTCAGGCTGTAGAAATAAATCACATCCTTTAAGCCAATTATGAGGCTTACTTATGGGTCAATAACTTGCTGAAAAAAAAAAAAACAGCCATTTCAAAGGATGAGCTTCCTTCTTTGATCATTGATCAGCTCGTGTGCTTTAAGTTATCATCTTATTGCATCAGCCAATCTCTCCTAAGCTTCAGGATACAGACTCTTTCCCTCATCCTCTCCCTCAAATTACAGTTTTAAATGATTTGTTCCTTTAATGCTCACAAGGCATCCACACACTCATGTAGCAAAGCAGCACCGAGCCTTTGCCCCTCTGAAAACGAGCGCTTCACAGTTAAAAGAGTAACATGTGACTCTCACATGTCACACAACTTTGTTCTGGAGTTGTCAGCTTTGAACACTTGTACAGAGTTTTTAGTTGGACACACCAACAAAGATTTCAGAGAAGTTATGGAGGTGGGTGTGGCTGCGCTAGTGCTCTCTTTAGGTTCTTCTTCACTTCTTCCAAGATTGTGCATCACTCACAAGCAGAATAGCAGTGGTGCTTTGTGAAGTGGGTTTTTAGGGATGTGCACCTCTAATTTATTGAGGAGGTTTATTTTTAAAGGAGGAAAGCCTCCACGAACGTCCCTTCTAATCTCGTCTCATTAACCTTAAAAACAACTCCTAGAAGCTTTTATAGAAGTCGCTGTCATGGTGAATTCAGAGTCTCTCGCTTTTTATTAGTCGGCAGTGTGAGGACGACCGGAGCATTTTATGACTCATCAATGCAGAAAAAGTCAAATTCACATTTCCAAATTACTTGAGTAAAAGTAACCCCTTTTGGCAGTCTGCGGTTTACACGGTACGTGGTCTCTGCTATACATAATATCCAAAAGGCTGATATCAGATCAGCCACAATCAGCTCGAATCTGCCAATTTAAAATGCGTACTGACATCAAATCTGCCCACACAGCAGCTTATTCACCGTTTCTCTGACACTTGGGGCTTTTTAAACTTCTTCACACTGAACAGAACGTTTTGCTTTGCACCGTCAGTGTGCACCAACTTACCTCCGCTCTCTATAAGGATGTCAAACAGGTCGTCCATTTGCTGGCTGGTTGCTGTGGGAACCTGAAAAGACATTTAAGGACGTTAAGAGACTCGACGCTTTGTAACCAAAAACGAAAAAGCTGCTCAAGGCTGGAAAAACTGGAAGTATACGCCTACGTTTTTTATGCTTCTCTGTACTCTGCACACATCAGTTTCAGTAGTGTGTGTGTCAGCTGTGGCTTGTTTTCATCTAACCTGTGAAGCGTTGTTGATGTGAAGACTGCGGCTCTGTTTGATGGCCTCCTCATAGCGGGGAGGCTCTCTGGTCTTAGGAGGCTGGGGAACCAGGGAGGTGGGCTGGAAGATGAAGGTGGGCTGAGGAGAGGAAGGCTGCAAAGATGACAGAGAAAAGATCAAGTCAGAGAAATATGTGAAGATCTGAAGAGTGAAGTTCAGAAAAATGCTGAATTCCTGATAGACACCTTATTGAGGGGCCCGTTGGAGATTCGATGGTTGGGTGATGCTCGTGGAGAGAGCTTATTCTCTGGGGAGCTTCTCAAAAAGCACTGGGGATTCATCTCAGGTCTACTCTGGTTCTCCAAGCCAGCAGTGTTATTGCACATAGTCAGAGTCTGCCAAGACACGAGAGAGTCTGACATCAGACCTCTGTGCATCACAGGTCTTTGTGGCTGTTGTGTAGAGCTAACTGGAACTACTAATGAGACGTGACTCACTTGTAGCAGCGGCTGCTGGCTGGGTGCCATCTCCACCTTGGTGGTCTGCAGCTGAGGGACTGAGGAATGGACCAGGCCTGGGTTTGAGACTGTGGCCTGGAGAACAGGCTAGTGCAGAGGAAAGACATGCGAGATCTTAAGAACTCAACTTTACAGAGGATGAGTCGAGATGGTTCTTTCTAGGTTTTAGATTAAGATTATCATTAATAATGCCAAGATGAGTTTATAGTAGATCAATACGCGCTTACTCTGTGACACCCTCTGCCATGCTACGCCACTGGCTCACTCACCTGCAGGCTGACGGTGGTGCTTGGCAGCTGGATTGCAGCAGCGTTGTTGGGCAGTGACACTGGAAGGAGGATCTGTGTTCCAGCTTGGCCAGTTGCTGTCAACAAAGTCCGAGGCTGACCCAACACCTGGGAAACACCACCCGAGTGGCTGATGAAGAACTGCTGCAGGCTGGGGGGTGCGGGCTGGGACTGTGGCTGGGCTCGGAGTTTGGGACTTTTCTGGGACTGCGAGAGGAGCTGTGGGCTGCTGGTTACTTGAGGCGGACCTGGGGCCTGGATTTGTGTGATGAGCTTGGTTTGGGTCTGCAGCGGCTTGCCAGAAGAAACGGACACATCCTCCAACTTCACCACTCCTGCCACGGGTGCTGAGAGTGCCTGTGAACCCAGGGTTGAGCTTGGGGTGGCAGCAGCAGTCGATGAACAATTTGACAGGACTGCACCTTCGACTTTCACCAGGTTAGAGTTGAGGACAGGAGGAACAGAGTTCACAGCAGCTCTTGGAGCGATCTTGGGGGACATAGAGGCAGAGTCACCCTGACCTCTCTTCTCCACTTCCAGTTGCATCTTCAGCACCTCCACCAGCTTCTGCTCCTGCTCCAGCTTCCTCATCAGCTCTTCTATCTGCCGCTCCTTCTCATGGAGCCTTCTGTCCTTTTCCTCTGGGACTTTGAAAGACAGTGAGGACTGTGGCCCTAACGAGGTCAGCATTTGAATTTCAGACAGACCCTCAGACATCCCTACATCCTGCTGGAGGGCGGAGAGATCAAAAGGAACAGGTGAGACAGGCGGCGTAGAGCTCATGCTCTCTGGAGCCACCTGCTGGACTGGAACTACAGCAGGTGTGGTAGTTGTGGTAACCTCCATGGGGATGGCAGATAGGGTAGTAGTGGCAGGAGTGGGGATGCTGGCAGCAGCAGTGGTGCTGGGATTGTCCTGGAAAGGCTTCAGTCTTTCTATCAGATCCGTCTTTGTTCCCGACACTGGGAGGCCACGAAGCTTCAGCTCTAGTTTCAGCTCGGCCACCTGGGAAGACAAAAGGAGGATCACGTCAGCATCAGATTTTAGACTTTAGTAGTCTATTTTTACAGGAGCAGTTCACTCTCTTTGGAAATGTGCTCATTTTATTGCCAAGAATTAGAAGAGAAAAAAAGATTAACATAATTCATGTGTGTTTGTTAAATTTGTAGCTGGAGACAGCAGATGGTTGGCTTTGCATTAAGACGCGGAAAAATGTGGAAACATGTTGGCTGTGCTTAAAGGGACAACAATCCACCAAACAGCACGTCTAAAGCACATCACATCTTGTATGACTCATGATGATCCATCATAAAACCAACAAATACCGGCCACAAACGCCTGACTTCATTCGTGCTGCAGTTTTCAGGCTTTATGCGAAGACACACTGCTTCAGGTTGGCGTTTCTGATTTAGTGCACAGGCAACATAGTGCCATTATTCTCTAATAACACTGTAATAAAGCACTTCAGCACATTTCTGAATGCTTAGCTTTAGGATAGGGAGTTGAAACACACAAAGGATTGTGTTTTTGTTGTCCTTCTACTTCTTCTGTTCTCTGGCAAAATGAAAGGTTTCCTCCAGAAAGGTTACGTGTAGTTTTCTCATTTTAGAAACATTATATTTTGGACTTCTTTATTATTATTTTTAAGATTTATTGAAAAATGACAAAACATAATGGGAGTGTGGCGACAACGTAACTGAATGCTGGACTTGATCAATGGAGTTTTGCCTACCCCACTACAATCATAGTTGTGAGTCGTGGACAGCAAAGGTTTCACTCTTTTCACTTGTGTGCAGACACAGAGGGTGAGAGACACCGATGGGTTTACTTTCACCTCCATGAATTATGCCACAGTCACACAGGGCGATGGACGATTTACCAGACTGTAGTTAGTCAGTGGGCGCATCACTGATATCAGGTCACAAAGTAAGATGTATTCAGTCACCACAGAGTCTTTCCTACAGACGTAAGTACTGTGGCACCGACACCTACAGGAGCTGTAAAACTGCAGTGTACAGGTTTTGTGCTGATGTTAATGTTTGGAACGTTGTAGTTACTGAGTCAGCAGAGCACAACTTTACACACTTTGTGCATCGGCACTCTGCAACTTTACATGATGTCAAGTTTTTAACGATTCAACAAAGATCGCACCCACAGGAGCTGCCAAGCAAACCCATGTCAGGAAGCTCACGGTGCACCGTTTTTGTGCTGATGTTAATGCCAGAGGAGGCTAGGACTTCCTCTGCCAAATGTGAGATTATAATATTATTTTATGCCATGTTAGACCCCTAATTAAAGATTGTGAATTATACTGTTGAGTTATAAGAAATACTGTTCGCAGAAAGTCATCGCCTTATTTGTCTGATTAGAAGAGAACAGAACATACTGGAGTTTTCTGCCCCATCTCAGCAGGAACAGATAAACAGGGAGCCAAGGTCGTAGCTTAGGCGCTGTGTGAGAGAAAGCATGTGAATGTTTAGGCTTTTATGATAAGGTGGGGGCCACTAGAGGCTATAAGAGTTTGATCAATGCTCCACCATTTTGAGATCTGATGCTGTCTGCGTACAGTGTCCATCTCCCACGCGTGTGATCATTAAAATCATCGTTTGACTCAACCCGGCCGGACCAGTGTGGTTATTGTGGTTTTTCCTCTTGTGTCCATCCCCAATATTTGAATCCGTAACACAAACAAGCCAGACTTTTACATCTGCTCTGTAACTTTACATGGTCTGACACTTTGTGGCTTGTTGCAGGGTTGCATTTTATTATAGCAAAACACTTCAATTCAGTCAGTTCTTTAGAAGGCCCAGTTTTTTCACAAACATCTATAAAGGCTAAACGCATAGCTAGGTGACACCTGCAGCAATGGGACTGAAAAAAAAAAAAAGAATTCAAAGATTAAGGAGTAGTCATCCAGTACTTTTGTCTATGTTATTTTTCTCTGGGTCAGTTAAACAGAAATTTCCAAAGTGCCTGGGAATGTGATTTTGAACAAATACCTTCATCTCTTCCAGGTTGGCAGGCAGGACACCGGGTTTACGGTTAGACAGCGAGTTGTTTGGCCGGGCCATTGCTGAAGGCAGAGCAGCAGGAGGAGGTGCAGTGGGCAAAGACACCACAATAGAAGTTGGCAGTGTACTCCCACCGTTATTCTGACCCTCTGCCAAAGGTCTGCAGCAGAGGGGGGAGGGGAAAAGACAAACAAAGATGAGGTGATTGTTTTTTTAAGGAAATCATTTCTGAACTACAGGAATATGAAACAAAAAAAGAGGAAGTGGAGGTGGGAGAGAGGGACGGTGTTGTTATAGAGAGAAGAAAGGCAGAAAGAAGAAAACAAGGAGAGGAAATGGGTTCAAACAGCCCATCCATCCTGTTCCTCTTGCCTCACTAACACCAGTCAACCAAATCACAGGCCAACAGCGATTTCAAAGACAGCTTCGTTACACCGCTGCTGCCAGGACTTTCACGAAAACAGCAGCTGGTTCATCAACATCCTGTTAGTTATCAATATGATTAGGCACAAGCCTGTTATTGACGCTCTGGCCCTCTGTGTTGTTGAAAACAACAATATTTGGCTTTGTTTCATAATTAAAAATCAAATGTCAAGCAAGCCAAACTAGTTTAGAAACACAAAAATAGAAAGAAACCCGTCTGAAGTACAGGTAGAAATAAAACTGCAGAATAACACTGGTTTCAATGTTAACACGGGGGGGCGGGGCTAGTATTTGTAATTTGCTTTGCACACGTACTTGAGCGGTGCTGGTAATATAGTTTGGTAGTTGTAATGCTGCTGCTGCTGGCTGAGGATCTGCAGCTGGAGAAACAGCTGCTGTTGCTGCAGTAACCGGGCGTATGAGGAGTCCATGGGTGCTTCGCTGGCCTCCTGCTTCTGGTCTGGGGGAACATACTGGTGGTACTTGAGCTTTTTCACCCTCGGCTTCAGCTCCTTGCCCTTCTTACTGCGACTCTTCTCTGAGGGAGCTTTCTGCTGACTTTGCTTTGGTGGAAGCAAACGTGGAGGGAAAAAGTATTAACATGTGTTAAACTCAACAACAGTCAGAGAAATGGAAACAGATGCGTTGTGCTTACTTTCACCAGTGTTGGGGCTGGTTTTGGAGGTACAACTGTAGCGACTGGATGAGTGAGGGTGACAGCTGGGTGGCTGGCAGGCGGCTCATTGGTGGCGATTACTTTCATGAAGTCTGTTTTTGGGACGGGCTGCAAAGAAATAATGGGTGGAGGGGGACACACTTAAAACCTCCAATGTCACTGTCGTTAAATAACAACAGTCTGGGCCCCCAGCTGACCTGCAGGATGGTGCTGGGCAGTGCTACTGGAGAGGGCGTCTCTGGTGCTCTGCTCTCCACCGGTGAGGGCGCAGAGCTCTGGGACTCCTGGCTGGCCGGTTGCTCCGGGGACAAAGCGTCGTTGCTGTCTTCCTCAAGAACCTTTGGATAATTCACCTGGCCCACTGAAAGATGATAAAAGATTTGTAATTTTTAGTATTATTCAAAGGATCAAACAAAGACATCTTTTTGTACCGATGAATTTAAACGTAAACTAAAATCATGTGTTCTCACCGATGATGGCTTGTTTAACGCTGGAATCCACCGGCAAAATGTTTTTCTCCACCAGCTCCATTGGGCCTGGTCGCTGGGCGATCTTCTCGTTGAGGTTGTCTGCTAGTCGGGCTCTCTTCAGCTTCATCTGAGTGGCCTGTAGTGAAGGTTCTGCTCCGGTCTCTGGGGACGACAATAAAAATTGTTATACAATCAGTCATAAATCAAATCAGCTAAATGCTCTAACATCAAGTTAAAAATACATCCTTTCTTGCTTAAATATGACATCAGTCTTTCTATTTCAACACTTTAAAGCACCACAGGAAACAATACTTAAAGCATTGTTAAAAAACAGAAGTTTGTGCATTGTGAAATAGGCAATTATTAGAACCTTGCAGGATGTGCATCCTGACCAGCTCTGCTCTTTCTGGACGACTGCGGATCTTATGTTTGAGAAAATTCTCAGTCTGGAGAGGAAGGCAGACACAGATCAGTTAATTATTTAAATTTTACTGTTACCAACAACAACTCAACTTTACATTTATGCAGTTTTTCCCCCCAAAAACTTACCCGGGCTCTCTCCAAGCTGCGAATCTGCCCGTGGAAAGCTGCCGGACTCTTTAAAGCTGCAATACAAAACATTTTCATCTACTTTATTCACAAATTATTATCATAATTTTTTTAAGTGTCTCCCGAGTTATCAGTATGAACCAGGGTACCACTTTGTTATTATTTCCCACCCACGCCACAATAGCTGTTGCAGTTACTCACGTGGCATAATGCCCTGGTCCACCAGCTGCTCCCGGGTTCGCCTCTGCTGGAGTCTCAGCTGCAGCACTGAAAGCAAACACGGAAAAGCAAATTTAACTGCCATGTAGAGAAAAAGATGAGAAACCTTGCTTGATGCTTAATGAGAACTACGAAAGCGGGGAAATAAAATAGGGAAGAAAAGCACGGAAAACCCAAAAGATGACGAGAAAAATGTCTCACTAATGCAACTCACAGCGTACTCATCGTGCTGACGTTACGTATATTTTCATGTTTAGGATGACTGTGCAGACTTTCACGCTAAATGCTCTGCAGCTGATCACATCTTTACAAACGGGGTTAAACAAAGAGGTGCACGCTAGCGTGGCGAGTCTCTCCCAGGTATTAGAATTCTGCCGTTTTAGGCGATTGAACCTAAAACCCTGTTATTGTTTTGTTACTTCACTCCTCAAATCTGCCTGGTAAGACTCAAATCGTGACTGTAACAGTCGCTGCTGAGGGATGGGAGGCAATAAAAATTACCCTGTCATAACTCATCACTGACAGCCTGCAGTGTGAAGATCTAAAGCACAGCTATCTCTTAGCTAAGCAAAGACACACAGACAAAGACACTCACGACTCAATACACAACATTTTGTTTCATTATTTTGTTCAAATGTTCTAAACTACATGAAAAATCATGGACAGGAATATTAATAATGGCATCATGTGTTTACAGATATTCTATCAACCATTTATTCACCTTTGTTTAAAAGCTGAAAGCCAGTCACATCCTCTCGACCATGGAGTAGTAAGACCATCCAAAGAGCTTGTCCTCCCACAGTGGGATGTTTATGCTACAGAGCCTTTAACCCCTCCTCCACCTCTACTCCCACTACTCCCATTTTCACTGAAACCAATTTGAGATGAGTTTGTTTGCCTCGTCTGTATCGTCGACACATCATATAAGACGTAAAAGTGTTTTTGTAACTGCAATACACTACAGGAGCAGTATCACCTATATCGCCTGCTAAGACTGCACTCAACACTAATGAAGAAGAACGGAGCGCGAAACAGGAGGATGGAAGAAAATGTTAAAAATAAAAAATAAGTTTGTTTTTTTCCCCCCCCAATGTAAAAGCACAGAAAACAAAGTTAAATGCAGAGTGCAAAGCATTGATGCTGCTTCATTACAAATGCCGCATACTGGGGCTGTGATGTCATCACTGAACGGCGCAGTTTTAGAGCGCGCAGCGTTGATACCTCGTTTATGCTGCTGTTTGTACAGTAATGTTTATGTTAGCTTACCTGTAGGAAGCTTCTCAGAATGTTTGCTAAGCCAACACGAGTCAGTTTTGTTAGCTAATGAGTGAAATATGATAGTAAAGCATTAAACGGGGGCACACGAAAAGAATCTGCACCTCTCAAATGGCTGAAGTCACGACAGATAGCATTGTTATCAGCAGCTGGGAACATCGTCTCAAAGATAAGAGCAGGCCTCACTCCAGAGCACGTCCAATGAATCATCTGTAAACTTTGGAAACTTGTTATTTTGGACTAGAAAATAAAATCTTTTTGATTGAATTGGAAGCTTTATTTGAGCTTATGGGCAGCAGCCATTTTTACTTTCCTATCTGCACATCATTTTTTGTTTAAATACTATGAGGACTTTAATTTGTATTAAATAAAAATATTAGCCATTTCATTTTTATTCTGACGGTCTTATCGAGCAATGTTAAAAACACAGCTGATTATTTTAAAATTCATGTTTCCCGGGTCATTATTTGAATTTGCTGTGAGACGAGACAACAGGGTGATTTCACAGGTGGGCAGACTTCAGCAGGTGGAGCCTGGAACAGGAGGTTTGCCCAAAGGGAGCAGAGATAAGAGTTATTGAGATAATAGTCGACTAATTGAAGAAAATTTGCAGATTAGCCGGCCTTAAAAATAACGTTTAGTCGGAACCCTACACCAGACTGCACTGTTTCTTAGAGTTTCAAAGCAGTTGCTGACTCAGCGCTGCAAGACACTGGACGTAAAAAGGCAGCAACAACTGCATGCTCAGCAGAAACCGCTTCTCTCAGAAACACCAGCACACAGCTTTAATGGGATTTCATTAAGAGACAGTCACACTGGGACGTATACACTGAGTGGGAGTTGCAAATGCCCACAGATTAAGCACCGGGCACAAGTACAGTCACTTCTGTATTCACAGGAAGGGACACGTCAAAATTACTGTGAAATACAAACTCCTACAACACAACAGGAAACAGCTGCCTCACCAATATTTTGTCTTTCCCATCTGTTTACCGCCAATCGCTTTCATAACTGATGCTCATTTTACAGACGAAACTGGCATTAAAGGCAACGCAGCTCCGGTCAAACATTTACAGAAATAATTGCAGATTCAAAAAAAATAAAAATAAATCAGTAACGTGGACTCTCGCTGCGCTCTGTAAACACTGCGAGCCAGGTTTCGGTGGACACATGTATGCTTAAGGTGATTCAGTTAAGACTTCCAGTAAACAACGTCCCCGAATTCCTCCGGGAAACGGCGCTCAGACTGACAAACACACGATGACCTGTGACCTCAGCAGTGTGAAGGGAAACTGTGGATATGAATGAGGCGTTTATGCGCTCACACAGAAATAAGGAAGTAAAAGAAATGAGTGTTGTTAAACCAGTACCAGTACCACACACAATATATATTAGAGATTATGTGTAAGCAGACTAACGACAAAACACTTTGGAGACACGGCAGGTTTGACTGCCTTTGTAAAGCGTTTGCTTTGCCTGCGCCTTCAGTGCAGCCTCTCTGCTCAGATTTGCTAAACTAAAAGAAATTAAAAGATAACTACTTAAACGTTTACAACTCAGGACACCTTTTGATTTTAAGCCCTTCTTTAAAGTTTTCCTAATAACAATCTGCAGCAACCAGACACTGAAAGCAAACTTGTGAGATAAGGAGAAATGAGACAGGAAAAAACAGCATGGTTACTGTTAAAATATTTGAATGCTGGACAGTGCAAGTGTTTCAGAGTACGGAGGAAGTGGAGGCAACCAGGGTGGAGTAAAAGATAAGGTCTTTATCACAGAGTCTCTGCTAAGTTCCAGTATTCTGTATGAATCAGGCATACTGATTGCTTCCCGGCTGCAGCTCCTAAAATGTGGAACAATTTGCCTTTGCACATTAGACGGGCCTCCTCTCAATAGTTTTTTAAACCCACCTTTGACACCTTGTGAGATGTTTTAATTTTACTTTTGTTCTATTGTCCTTCTCGTTTTACGTCTTTCGTGTATTATTCTGTATAGCACTTTGGTCCTTTGTGGCTGTGTAACAGTGCAGCCTGCTCGGAGTGTCTTTGAGTTAGTGTGAGCTGTCCTGAGACAATTAATTGCTCACAGTTGTTAATAAATTTAACAGTAGGGAGATTACACAGCCGCTGGCAGAGGCGCACATTAGCAAACACCCTGACAGCTGCTTAATATGACGCTGAAATGGAAAGTGTTGCTGGTGAGCTCAGCAGTTTGTCAAAAGCACTCCTAACCACCGCTGTGTATTTATGTGGACAGTATTAAATGAGTAATGATAACATCCTAATGAAACCCATCATAAATAAAGATTATACAGGGTGGGCCATTTATATGGATACACGTAATAACATGGGATTGGTTGGCGATATTAAAGTCCTGTTTGTGGCACATTAGTATATGTGAGGGGGAAACTCCTCAAGATGGGTGGTTTAGAAGTCGGCCATCTTGGATACAACTTTTGTTTTTTTCCAATAGGAAGAGGGTCATGTGACACATCAAACTTATTGGCAATGTCACAAGAAAAACAATGGTGTGCTTGGTTTCAACGTAACTTCATTCTTTCATGAGTTATTTACAAGTTTCCCTCCCTGTGGGCTTCAAACTATTTTACATGATCTATATATAAGCTTCAACATGTGATCCTAAAAGAGAGAAGTCATTTGTATTTGTGGAAACGTGGCCTGTATTTATTTCTTTACTTGCTTTCAGTCTGATAAACAATAATTTCATAAAATACTCGATTAAAATCAGTCAGACACGTCCACACCATCTCTTCTACCAAAACCCTGTACAGGGTGGCAGGACAAACTTCACATCTTAGAAGAGAGCCGGAGAGCAATAATAACTACTGATAAACACAGAGTGTGAAAAGGTAACTTAAGAAGAAACACTCAGTGCATTATGGGAAGTCCCCAGCAGCCCAGGCCTTTTTCAGAACATCTAAGGGAGGGTTCAGAGTCACCCGAAACAGGCCTAATTATAAGCTTTATCAAAAAAAAAAAGTAGAGCTGGTGTCTGTTTCCTGTATCCAAACTGGTTCCACAGCAGAGGGCCTGAAATCTGACACTGATTAACGCACCGTTACCCTGTTTCTGAGAGGCTTGTGAGCTGCCCACGTGACAGACCATCCAGCCATGAAACAGTCGTGCATTTCTGCATTACTCATGCTTAGGCACGTCAGCCTGTCATGTGACATCCAAACAGAGACAGAAAAGTTTGTGAGTTGCAAGAGATCAGCCAGCGCTACACTTGGCTAGAGAACACGTGCGATACGCGTCTATCACCCGTTCTGGTCCATTTCTTAAAACCGCGAATTCCAAAAATAAACACCTCAAGTGAGATGGACTTCCTGTTCAGAGAAGTCAGTTACTCAAAGCTAATTATACGTAGAACTCACAATTTGCAAACATAAAAAGAAAATCAACAGCTTGGTGGAGATTCGTTTTATTCTTATTATTTGTTTGCATATAAACTTCTGCTTACCAACTTCAATTTTTAGGCTACTTCCTTTTCAGACTCCTAATCTCTGTCAAAACAACCTCAAAACCCTTAATCTCCAAACTCCATCCTGCTGATAGTGGTGCTGTAATTCTCCTCCTCTCCCTCCAGACTCTCTGAGCTCGCCACAGCTTAAGACTCAGAGCCGTCTGATGGCAGACAGATTAACACCTGCATGATAAAAGCCAATATGAGAGGAGGGACTCTGCGGTTGGCAAAGTGCTGTGGAGGGCTCAGAGGGTGGAAAGTATGAGGTATGTTTTCTCACTGGAGGGGAAATCACAAAAGCCGAGATGATGAGTGGGTGCTACTACTGTTGACATTCCACAGAAATTTTCCGCAGTCAAGCCGTTTCTCCTGCGAAATCCTACAGTCACCCAGAACGTGTTAAATCCAGTCTGGAGCAGCTTTGATTAAAACCCACTGCAGCATTTGTTGACTTGCATCTGACGAATTAAGATTTTCTTGGGAATAATGATCAATACCGCAGTGACTGGACTGAATGGCTTAACTGGTCTCCATACGCCAGTCTAAGCCACGATTAGAAGCTGGCGGTGAACCGAACCCGCTCCCAAAGCCTGGTATTTGCATAGCCATCCATCAGTGTCATATTCAGTCCCATGTGGATGCCAAAACAACACTGACACTGTGAGGATTTAGAAGCAGAGCTGGTGGAGGAATCAGGAGTTGAGGACTGAAGCGTGATTGGCTAATAGAGTGGAAGTTAGTGACTGCACATCTTTGTATTTACATTATTGGACAGTGTGTGCGCTATCAACGCATGCAATCTTCAAATACAGTATTTGGCATCTTCAGTTTACACGGTTTCTGCTGATTTTATCTACGAAACTATTTTGTCTGTGTTTTATCTGTATGCATGTAGCTGATAATATTGCTTGTTATTCTCTAACACCTTAGAGAATAACACAGAAAGAGGGATTTACACACATCACTTTTCTCCGTTTTTCACTGCTTTTTAAATAATGTCACTCAGTTTGTGCTGCAGCAGAGACAGGAAGTGTGGGAAGCCAACAGAGATGAACTGTGGAGGTTGTGTGGCAGCAGTGTATCCTCACCATTTTTGCGTTCACTGAGCGGAGGCAGGCTCTGTATGGGCTGCAGCGACAGCTCCTCCATCTCATGGGTCACAGCCTCGCTCTGGGGACTGGGCACCAGTAGATTTGACATCTCGCAATCCCCCTCTGCTCCTAACTGCCTCTGGGAAGCCTGGGGCTCCATCCTGCCTCAGGAGGTTGGGGAGGCTCTGAGGCAACCAACGGATCACCGTCCCTGTGTGTAATGTCTCCCTGCTACCTGTGTAAGAGCAACAGGAAAGAAGAGAAAGAGGAGTATCAGTTAAAATCCTTCCTCAACAGGAGGAACGCGTCACTCAACGATACTTTGTGGGCTCCTCGAAAATAACGCTAATTCGGAATAACGAGCATCATCATCCTGTTGGTATGACTGCTTCACCCAACTGGTGAAATGCTAAGGGTGGCATTTCATTTCAGCCATCTGGAACAGCTCAGTCGCAGCCCAAATTATTCATTAAGCCAGCTGGGTTGGCTATTATACTGAATAATCACTTCAAACCGCTGCTCAAGAGAAACAACGCCAATTTGTGCATGAATGTTCTCTCTGTTCCGACAGGCTTCATAATCCGGAGCATGACGTCGTTGTGGTGGTTTCAAACGGAGGGAACGGAAACATTTCGGGGAGCAACACAAACAGTTTAGTATCCATGGCGTCCCAACAGTCTGCTCGGTCTGAGCCATTTATCGCTCTCCAGCAGCACCCAAATCTATCCATTCCTGGACCTAAGCACTCTTTAATAACCATCCTGATGTGCTGCTTTTGGCTGAGAAGCACCCTGTTCCTATTGCATCTTTATTTTCTCCCCTCAAGTGTCAAAGGCATCACACAGACCACAGAGTCTGCAGCACCATAAGACATGCAACAAATGCTTGGACTTGAAATCAGTTTTCATTTATAAGTCTCTGCTCTCGCAGCGCTCCACTACACTCTTTTCCTTTAAGATCTGTGCCAGTTTCACAGACCAACATCAAGAGTCTGCAGCTCCATTAATCTGGCATTAAGTACTAACAGGGGAGTCATTGCCAGTTAACTTGACATTTATTCTCAGTTGGTCCATGTTAACTGCTGCAACCACTACAAAATTCACCCCAGTCGCCAAAACTTTGGTTTCTAATCCATCACCACTCACTGCCTCTTATATGATGATTATGTGCTATTAAAACAACCTGGTTCAGCGATAATTCGGGCCTTGAAGTTCAGCAGTGTAACCTCAATGGCTTTCTGTGGTAAAACTGCAGAAACAGTGTTTCACACAGTGACTGTAGAGGTCAGACATTTTCTAAGAAGGGTGCATGCGTCTAAAGAGAGACACAAGCCTACTTTTTTAAGTTTGCAATTTAAATTACCAAGTACTTTGGAACAAAAAGCAACAGGGCGACATACTCCAGTGCATTTCCAGTGAGTCTCATCCTCTGGATGGACGACACACTCCTGGACCGGTTATCCCTCCAGTCTGTCCAAAAGACCAGACTTAAATGCAAAAATTGCCACGTAAACAAAAACAGCCTTGAAATAGAGAAGTGATCAAGAAAAATGGATGGATGGATGGATGCTTGTTCCCACACTACGTTAAAACAAATGCAGTTTGTCTGTTAGCTTGCTGGCACACAGCTGGGACGCTGATGCAAAGAAAACCATCGCCTTGGGTGGTAACTGTATATCAGCTGTTGATGGGACCGTTCCTACCTGAGGAAGCAGCAGACAAGGGACGGAGAAAGAAGTCTTGGCTAGTTGCTGTGAAGAGTCACACTAAGCCATTGAGTCGAATCTGGAAGGAGAGAGAAAAACAAACATCATGAGAATGAAACTCACAAGTGCAGCATGTTTTCCTTTTTTTCAGATGACTCAGTGACACTGGACAGTCAGTGTATAATCCTACACCACATTCAGTGCTAAGCCTGTTTCACTAAAAGTCTCTTCTGTTTCTGTCTAGTCATAATGGCTGTTACATTTAAAGAAGAAAAAAAAAAGCAGTAAGCTTTATTTTCCTTTATTTCTGAAAAGCGGTGGCTGAATATTAGCGTGTTTTCAGACCACCAAACCAGAGTTTAACATAATAGAGGGGCAAGAGAAACCACACTGAGAAACAACTACTTGAACCTAATGAGAAATCCGATCTGAAAAACATGGTGCCACTGTGATGCTGCTTTAAAAGGTGCGGCGAATAAAAGTAGTAAGCACCACTTCAAAATGCTGCAATGGATGCGGCCGACACTCAAAGCTTCATCTGGGTCTGAAAAATCACGTTCAAAGGTTGCACGGAAAACATGCACACTATGATCGTCTATACAAAGACAACAGAAACTGCAGCTGTAGTGCAGCATCATACTGCAGCATGAGGCAGAGAAAAGGAATCAATCAGCCACACAAAGAAGCTTTTAATCCTCTCTGAGATGTGTGCAAAGTAGATAACTTAATTAGGATAAGACTCATGCATCAATTCACTGACACTCTGGAAAGATAATGGCCTTGTGCCACATTTCTCATACTGCATGCCCACGTACATACCCGTGCTTCTGTATGGAGTGTTTGTGCAGTGAAAATGAAGCTTTTATAAAAAGGTATTCTACGTGCATAAATGCTAAAAGTTGGTTATTTTAGCCTATTGCTGTGTGGCTGCTAAGCAGTATGACAAGATCTTAATACAACAACCTTTAAGCACCTGTGTGCCACATCACGTTTGTGCATTACAGTAAGATTGCCAGTTATCTTGTTGATGCGGGTTCCTCCCTAACAGCAGTAACAAATGCAGTTTAGCATATTTTAGCCTGTTCAACAACTTCACTTCAAAAACTCACATCGGTCAGACTATAAAAATGAAGCTAGATGGATTTCGTATCACAAGAGTGAACGGCAGGAGAGAACAGCAGTGCAGCATTCCAGCAGCCAGACCTCCGTGACATGTGCGAGTACATGTTGAGCGAACAAGTGAGTGCGAGAAAGGGGGAAGTGAAAGAGAGAGGAAGGGCCCAACAACTGTCGCAGCTGAAGAGGTTTTGTGGGATAAACATCGGTGGTCCCCCTCGCAGAATCAAAGAGCAGATCCAGACGGCAGGCGCAGCATGTTGCTGTGCCCTCTGTTCTTTTAATGGCACGAGGCAACAAGCCGCACATTCCTCATCAAAGGGTAATGCGCACAAACACACCTCTAGAAACAAAAGGGTGCTTAACATTAGCGAGTGAGCGGTCGCTACTCATTCACACAGGTAATAGATGTGCTGCACGACTGGCTTCACCTTCCAGATGCAGAAGCTGCATGTATATTTTACTGTTTATGATTCTGCCCGTGGGCGTGTTACAGACACAGACCACTGTTCGGTGCAATCACAAACACATAAACAAGGACACCCTTCGCTTCCCTGTCAGCACACATTTGTCATCCAGTTTTCTCTACTGTAATGTGCAAAATAAGATCTTGAGCAACACCTCACTTCTCTATATCATGATAGGAAAATGGGAAATGGGTGCAGTAACTTATTGAAATGTGTACAAACACACATGGAAATAGATTATAGGAGGCCAAAACTATTTTTAAAATTCCAGTGAGCTTGAAAGTCAATATTTGTTCTACTGCACAGGCCGAACTCTCTTTTTCCAGGAACAGTTCTCCAGGCTTCTTGAAGGACACTCAAAGCTCTTCTTTGGATCCTGCACAAACACTGTACAGACTACGAATGTACAATACATCAGTTTGAGTTAATGCTGGGCTTGTTGATATTTACAGATGGCAGTGGCTGAAAAGAAACAATTCTGAACAATGATGCAAGAACCGGGTTAGCACACCGACTGCTGTCGTCTTCATATGTAGCGCACAACACGAGATGGTCACCTTAAGACAAGTACAGGAGGGAGCTGCCCGGGTAAGACATGAGCAGGCGGGAATTCACCGAACAACTACCACTGCTGTGCTCACGTGTACTTTAACTTTGCATTTGTTTTGGACAAAGACCATTTAATGGTTGATTTGCCTGCATCAGATTTTTCTCTTCTCACACGCAGCACCATTATGCAGTATTTACGAACGTTCAGGGCTGCGGCGCACATGTGCAAACATCCATTTCAAACCAGTTCAGATACAGTTATTGTTACAATGTCTTATTTTGAGGAATTTCCCTTTCAACGACAAAATTTAAAAAAAAAAAAGCCTGTACAGGGCGATGACGACGAACACAGTCAAGTTAACTTTAAGTATTTGCATAGGTAGGGATGAAGACAGCGAAAGGGGTTTTCAAAGTATTTGGAGCTCAGCCGAGGTACCATGGAAATAACAGCCTATGAATTAGAGCAGGGCGATATGGCCAAAAATATTTATCAC